AACAACAAAAAAAAAATGCTTTTATTACTTAGAATTTTTGTCTTTGTTTCTAGTCCAAATATTAATTCATTCATTCATTAATTCATTCATTTTCTTGTCGGCTTAGTCTCTTAATTAATCTGAGGTCGCCACAGCAGAATGAACCGCCAATATATCCAGCAAGTTTTTACGCAGCGGATGCCATTCCCCACCTCTGGCCGCAACCCACCTCTGGAAAACATCCACACACACATATTCACACACACACTCATACATTACGGACAATTTAGCCTACCCAATTCACCTGTACCGCATGTCTGGGCTGTGGGGGAAACCGGAGCACCCGGAGGAAACCCACGCGCGAAGGCAGGGAGAACATGCAAACTCCACACAGAAACACCAACTGACCCAGCCGGGACTCGAACCAGCGACCTTCGTGCTGTGAGGCGACAGCACTACCTACTGCGCCACTGCATTTACTGTTTGACATTGAGGTGAAGTTAATTTTATATTCGGACATCTTATCTTTCCCCTTAATAATATAATTTATTAAAGGATTCTTGTAATTTTGACTTATTATTTCTGAAAACCAGAAACTTGTTTTATTGAATGGATCTTTTTAATTTAAGAATTGCTTAGAAATTTGGACTAGAAACAAGACAAATATATACATACTTAAGAAAACTTTGTTTTTTTTTTTAAATTCTGGGTTAATGTTCTGGGAACATTGTGGTTAGGCGACACAGTGGCACAGTAGGTGATGCTGTCGCCTCACAGCAAGCATGTCCCTGGTTTGAGCCTCGGCTGGGTCAGTTGGCATTTCTGTGTGGAGTTTGCATGTTCTCGCTGCGTTCGGGTGGTTTTCCTCCGGGTGCTCCGGTTTCCCCCACAGTCCAAAGACACATGCGGTACAGGTGAATTGGGTAGGCTAAACTGTCCCTAGTGTATGTGTGTGAATGTGAGTGTGTGTTGATGTTTTCCAGCAATGGGTTGTGGCTGGAAGGGCATCTGCTGCGTAAAACATGTGCTGGATAAGTTGGCAGTTCATTCCGCCGTGGTGACCCAGGATTAATAAAAGGACTAAGCCGAAAAGAAAATGAATGAATGAATTTACATCTAGCCTTGACTGTCTTGGTTTTGCATGTAATTTCGCAATGACAAACACTTTGATGGAGTGTGAAAGAGAGTGTGAAGTGCAGATGAGTTACACTTTTTTTCACATCAGACTTACCTGTACACTGGTGTCCGCAGGTTTTGCTAATCCTGAGACGGGTTTGGCAGTGACGGGTCGCAGTTTGATGCATAACTCTTTACATGTATTCATGAACGGCTCCATGTCTTCAGTGCAGGGATCTGCCAACGACCCCATTTTCATCATACATCATGCTTTTATTGACAGGTAAAATCAAATGCATGCACATAAAATACACACACACACACACACACAGCTTTTTAAATGTGTATTTGAAGTATTTTAGTACGTTATTTATTTAAAAATTGGAAAAGCCTAATGAAAAAAACTTTTATTTACTGTAAAAAAAGAAATTAAAAAATCATCAAATCAAATCAGCTGACTGAATCATTACATCTCTAACAACTGCTTTCCATGGTGTGTTTGTGTGCTCCAGCATCTTTGAGCAGTGGTTGAGGAGACACCAGCCGCCCCGCACACACTACCCCACCGCCAACGCCCCCATCGGACACAACGACGGATACTTCATGGTGCCCTTCATCCCTCTCTACAGGAACGGAGACTATTTTCTCTCCACGAAAGCCCTGGGATATGAATATGCATATTTACAGGATCCAGGTGAGTTATTAGCCAACACACACACTCTTTAAGCTGATTTTAGCACAGAACTTTACTATTATAGGTTCTGGCCGTTGTTTTTTTGCTTAAAACCTATTTTTTTATATTACATTACATCATTTAAATTCTTTTTAATCTTTACATTAATGCTTCAATAAATCAGTGATTAAATCTTTGGTCTGATAACCCCACCCAATATAACTGATAGCTCCACCCTGAAGGACTGATAACCCCACCCAAAATGACTGATAGCTCCACCCTAAAGGACTGATAACCCCAACCAAAATGACTGATAGCTCCACCGTAAATAACTGATAGCTCCACCTTAAAAGACTAATAGCTCCATCTTAAAGGATTGATAACCCCACCCAAAATGACTGTTAGCTCCACCCTAAAAGACTGATAGCTCCACCCTAAAGGACTGATAACCCAACCCTAAATAACTGATAGCTCCACCCTAAAGGACAAATAAACCCAACCCAAAATGACTGATAGCTCTACCTTAAAGGACTAATAACCCTGCCCTAAATAACTGATGGCTCCACCCTTAAAAACTGATAGCTCACCCTAAAGGACTGATAGCCCTACCCTAAAGCATAAATAACCCCAGCCTAATTGACTGATAGCTCCACCCTAATGGGCTGATTGTCCGCCCTAAACACTAATAACCCTATCCTAAAGAACTAAAAGCTTCACCCTAAAGGACTGACAACCCCTCCCTAAAAGCCTGAAAGCCCCACCCTAAAGGAGTGATAGTCCCGCCCTAAAAGACTGATAGCCCTGCCCTAAATGACTGAAAGCTCCACCATAAATGACTAATAACCCCGCCCTAAAGGACTAATAGCTCCACCCTAAGAAATGGTTAGCCCCGCCCTAAATGACTGATAGCTCCACCCTAAAGGACTGATAACCCTGCCTAAATCACTGATCGCTTCACACTAAAGGACTAATAAACTTGCCTTAAATGAGTGAAAGCCCCACCCTAAAGGACTACAAGCCCCACCCTAGATGACTGATAACTCCACCCTAATGGACTGATAGTCCCACCCTAAGACACCAATAACCCCTGCCTAATGGACTGAAAGCCCCACCATAAATGACTGATAGCTTCATTTTAAAGAACAAATAACACTGCCCTGAATGACTAATAGCTCCACCCTAAAAGGACTAATAACCCCGCCCAAAACTACTGATAATTCCATCCTAAAGGACTAATAACCCCACCCTAAAAGACTAATAGCTCCACCCTAAAAGACTGATAGCTCTGCCCTAAAGGACTGATAGACCCACCCAAAATGACTGATACCTCCACCAGAAAGGACTAAACAACCCGCCATAAAGGACTGACAACCCCACCCAAAGAAACTATTAGCCCCGCCCTAAATGACTGATAGCTCCACCCTAAAGGACTGATAACCCTGCTTAAAATTACTGACAGACCCACCCTAAAGCACTAAAAACTCCTCCCTAAAGGATTGAAAGCCCCACCCTAAATGACTGGCAGCTCTGCCCTAAAATACTAATGACTAAGCCTTAAAGACTGATAGCTCCGCCCTAAAATACTAATAACTAAGCCTTAAAGACCGATAGCTCCGCCCTAAAATACTAATAACTAAGCCTTAAAGACTGATAGCTCCGCCCTAAAATACTAATAATCAAGCCTTAAAGACTGATAGCTCCGCCCTAAAATACCAATAACTCCGCCTTAAAGACTGATAGCTCCGCCCTAAAATACTAATAATCAAGCCTTAAAGACTGATAGCTCCGCCCTAAAATACCAATAACTCCGCCTTAAAGACTGATAGCTCCGCCCTAAAATACTAATAATCAAGCCTTAAAGACTGATAGCTCCGCCCTAAAATACTAATAACTAAGCCTTAAAGACTGATAGCTCCGCCCTAATATACTAATAATCAAGCTTTAAAGACCGATAGCTCCGCCCTAAAATACTAATAACTAAGCCTTAAAGACTGATAGCTCCGCCCTGAAATACTAATAATCAAGCCTTAAAGACTGATAGCTCCGCCCTAAAATACTAATAACTCCGCCTTAAAGACTGATAGCTCCGCCCTAAAGGCATTGCATGTGACCAGAAACGAAGAACAGTAATTGTCGAGGGGGATGGAAGGTTCTTAAATTTGATTAAAGTTTCTGATCGCTGATGAATTTTCTCATGGTTGTGTGTTTGAATGGAGCTCACGATCTTTCATGACTAATGCTCTCTCTCTCCTGATTGGCTGCAGGTCAGCGGTTTGTGCAGGAGTTCCTGACGCCGTATCTGGAGCAGGCGCAGCAGATCTGGCAGTGGCTGGTGGCGGCAGGTATCCTGGGCGCTGCAGTAGCAGGAATAATCGCATCGGTTTTCGCAGTGGCGTGTCGCAGACAGACGAGGAGACGGAAGCTGTCATATGGAGAGAGACAGCCGCTCCTGAACAGCAGCGAAGAAGAGGGTTCAGCTTCATATCAAACCACACTGTGAATCAAAGGCAGGACAGATGCGCTGAAACACGTCATGTGACACGCTGATCTCATCCGTAAACCCAAGGGTTGTGTTTGCATCAAGTGCACTACATGTGTTACAGTACTCGCAAGTTCGGCCTCAGCAAGAGAAGGATCCAAGCATTATGCTGATCAAAACTGACAGTAAATGCATTTATAATTTATTCTACGTTAAAGGGACAGTTCACCCAAAAATGAAAATGTCCTCGTTTACAAACACTTAAAGGGACAGATCACACAAAAATGAAACTCACCCACAGGTCACCCGAGATGTAGGTGACTTTTTTCCTTCAGTAGTACATTAAAGGAGATTTTGAGCTGTTTCACAAGTGTTTACTGCTTATTTACGGTTGTAAAATGCATTATGGGATGTTGATCTCTGCTCTGTCGGCTTCTGATGGTCAAACTTCAACAAGTTTAACAAAATGACTTTTTAGGGAAAAGTGATTCATATAATGGCAGTGATAGTGACACATTTCCCTGCTGAAAAATCCAGCTTAAACCAGCCCAGGCTGGTTTAAGCGGGATTTTTCAGCAGGGTTTGGTCAATGTGGACTCGTTTGTATGTGTTTATTTTGAATCTAAAAAGCCTGTCACTATTCACTGCCTTTATATAAATCACCAAGGACCACAAATTCAGCATAAAATCTTCATTAATGTTCTACTGAAGAAGAAAGCAACAGGAAATGTTCATTTTTGGGTGAACTATCCCTTTAAGTAGCAGTAAGCATCATTGGATTTCTTTCTTCTGTTGAACACAAAAGAAGATATTCAGAAGAATGTTGTAAAAAATAAGCAGCTATTGACATCCATAGTAGAAAGACTATGGAAGTAAATGCAGATTTCTTTTCTAACATTCAACCAAATATCTTCTTTTGTGTTCAACAGAATAAAGAAAGTGGATGTTTAAATGCATTTTTAGTTTAAAAACAAGAAATGGACGCATAAATGATGACAGAATTGTTTGTTTTGGGTGGACGATCCCTTTAGTAATCAGTAAAACGTACACTGTGAATTAAGCAAATGTCCCAAACACAGCTAAGCTTCAGCCCCAGATTTGTTTTCATCATGTGTCTTTTTGTCCCCTCTTGATCAAATGATATTCATGGTGCTTGTATGGTCACTGTGGCACGTGCTGTATGTTCAAATGAAAAAAGAAATGCTAACAAAGTGATATTAAAAAGATCAATAGCCATAGCTCCTAATGACACACTGAGGTCTTAGAAAGCAAAATGATTGGTCGGTGTAAGAAATTGAACATTATTTACAACATTATTAGCAAATAATAGTAAAATATTTGACTATAATTGGAATACAGTTGCATATGTGCCAAGAATGGTTTGAGCAAGGTGGATTAAAGCTAATAATATTGTAAGTAATGTTCACTTTCTTACACAGACCAATTGTTTTGCTCCACAAGACCTCAGTGTGTCATCGGGAGCCACGGTTTTTGATTTAGACTCGTTTGTATGTGTTTGTTCTTAATCTAAAAAACCTGTCACCATTCACTGCCATTATATGAATCACCAAAGACCACAGATTCAGCTCGAAATCTTCTTTAACGCTCTACCGAAGAAGAAATTAACAGGACATTTTCAGTTTTGGGTGAACTATCCCTTTAAATCAGGGGTCACCAATCTCGGTCCTGGAGGGCCGGTGTCCCTGCAGGGTTTAGCTCCAACTTGACTCAACACACCTGCCTGGATGTTTCAAGTATACCAAGTAAGACCTTCATTAGCTTGTTAAGGTGTGTTTGATTAAGGTTTGAGCTAAAATCTGCAGGACACCGGCCCTCCAGGAACTTTGGTGACCACGGATTTAAATAGAAGTAAATATTAGTAAATTTATCTTCCGTTAAACACACAAAAAGAAGATATTTGGAAGAATGTTAGGGGGAAAAGCAGTATAGTATAAATACTATCCGCTTGTTAAGTAGTGATGTATGGAAAACTGCTTCCAAGTCCAAAACGCGCCTCAAATATTTGTTTGTGACCACTTTTAAGTCATATTAAAGTGAATTTGATATTCAATCATGGTGTACACAACCGTCTCTAGACTTGCTGCACCACAGACATCAACATTTGAACAATTTATAAAAATGAATCACTTTCTGGCCATCGGGTATCATGCATATATATATATATATATACACACACACACACAAACACACACACAAACACACACACACACACAAACATATTATATATATATATATATACATTATATATATATATATATATACATTATATATATATATATATATACATATTATATATATATTTATATATATATGTATATACACACATACATATATATACACATTTAAACATATACACACGCACACACACATATATATATACACACACATACATACATATATATATATACACACACACACACACATATATATATATACACACACATATATATATATATATATATATACATACATATGCTATGTGTATATATATATATGCTATGTGTATATATATATAGCGATTTTCAAAAGTATTACATCGCTTTATAAATGTTTATTATTACCAATTGTTGAGTCTTCCCATGTAGTTTGATAGAGCGATTGGATCCAGAAGCTGCATTGCATGACGACAAACTTAACAAACGGATGGAAGTCAATGATGATTTTGTTTCCTTTCTCAACATTTTTTCAAATATCTTCGTTTGTGTTCAAAAAAAGAAAGAAACAGAGTTAAAACAAAAAAATTATGTATAAATGATGAAAGAATTGTTTGTTTTGGGTGAACGATCCTTTTTGTAACTAGTAAAACATATACACCGTGCAGTAAGCAAGTGTCCCAAACACAGCTAAGCTTCAGCCCCAGATTTGTTTTTGTCATGTGTTTTTGTGCCTCTTGATGCACCAATGATATTCATGATGCTTGTATCGTCACTGTGGCATGTACTGTATGTTCAAATGAGAAAAGAAATGCTAACAAAGTGATATTAAAAAGATTTATGAGATAAATCAGTGATTACATGAAATCTTTGGCAGTGGTGGTACAATAACAGTGCAGGTCATTTAGGACCTATTGGGTCCTAATAATATATGAATAATACTAACACAACTATTGTTGCGCTGTACAAAATACAAAAGGAAATAAATATTTGAAATGAATGAGATCTTAAATACGGAGTATGTAAGAGTGTTTAAAAGTATAAAACATGCTATTAGTAGGCAATAAAACACTTTATAAAGGCATAACAGTAAGAAAGTCCTTTTTAAAGGGGTAGTTCACACAAAAATGAACATTTACTCACTGTTTATTGTCCCTCAAGTGGTTGCAAATCTTTAAGAGTATTGTTTTCCTGTTAAATGCAAAGGAAGACATTTTGAAGAATGTTGGAAATGGGTAACCATTGACTTACACAGTAGGAAAAAAATACTATGGAAGTCAATGGTTACCCATTTCCAGCATTCTTCAAATAATCTTCCTTTGTGTTTAACAGAAGAAACAGATTTTAAACCAATAGAAGATGAATAAACAATGACACTATTATCATATTTAAATGAACTATCCCTTAGTCTATATAGGACTAGGTGTTTTAAGAGGGCTGTGCAGGTTCATGTAGACAAACTACATGCCAAAAATACCACAAATATTCCCTGAATAAGAACTTAACTGTGCAAATCTCCCTCACGTTACTCTGTTTACCGGCGTTCAGTCTCTTTGAGGATTTGTTTGCAGTCCATCTCTTCATTCACACTCCTCTTGATTCCTCGCATTAAACAACTAAAGGCCAATTTATACTTCTGCATCGAGTGTGTGTGGTTTTTGCCGTACCCTGATGTACACCTCTCAAAAAAATGTAACATCACAATGACAGAGAGCACACGATCTGTGATTGGCTGGCTTAGTATAGCTGTGACAATTGTGGGTGGAGCCAAGAGCTGTCAAGGCCAGTGGCGCAAGCGTTTAGAGGTCATGTAAAATTAAAATCAAGCTTTTAAGGTGTTAGTTTTAAGCATATAAGCTAGTGTTCACCAAAACAATGACAGAATTTGCATTTAAAAGATGTACACATGTAAAGTCTGCAATTTGTCACTAAATAGATCAACAATTTTTACCTCATACTTCAGTTTCTCATCAAATCTTCTGACGAATCAACTGCTCTCTAATATCTGACATGCCCCGCCCCCTTCATGATGCTTTTCATTTGCTTTTCATATGATGCGTTTGACCTCAAGCACTCTCACTGGCAGAGCTGTGAGAATAACTAAATGCTATTGGCTGTTTTTTTTAAAAAGGGGGGAGCTACTCTATGTCAGGGCCACTCTTCATGTTTCAATTGAGATTACGTCAAACATCGAATAAAAAAATGCACATTCACTGAACCTTTAACAGTGAAATTACCAGAAACTACTAGAATGGCCACACCAATCATTCCCCATACACTCACCGGCCACTTTATTAGGTACACCTGTCCAACTGCTCATCAACGCAAATTTCTAATAAATCAGCCAATCACATGGCATCAACTCAATGCATTTAGGCATGTAGACATGATCAAGACGATCTGCTGCAGTTCAAACCGAGCATCAGAATGGGGAAGACAGGGGATTTAAGTGACTTTGAACGTGGCATGGTTGTTGGTGCCAGAGGGGCTGGTTTGAATATTTCAGAAACAGCTGATCTACTGGGATTTTCACGCACAACCATCTCAAGGGTTTACAGAGAATGGCCAGAAAAAGAGAAAATATCCTGTGATGACTTGTTGATGCTAGAGGTCAGAGTTGAATGGCCAGACTGGTTCCAGCTCATAGAAAGGCAACAGTAACTCAACCACTCATTACAACCGAGGTACAACACGTCCAACCTTGGGGCAGATGGGCTACAGCAGCAGACACCACACCGAATGCCACTCCTGTCAGCTAAGAACAGGAAACCAAGGCTACAATTTACACAGGCTGACTAAAATTAGACAATAGAAGATTTAGAAAAATGTTGCCTGATCTGATGAGTTTCTGCTGCGACATTCTGATGGTAGGGTCAGAATTTGGGGTCAGCAACATAAAAACATCCCCATCCATTTATGACCACAGTGCACCCATCTTCTGATGGCTACTTCCAGCAGGATATCGAGCCATGTCATAAAGCGCAAATCATCTCAGACTCGTTTCTTGAACTTGACAACGAGTTCACTGTACTCAAATGGCCTCCACAGTCACCAGATCTCAATCCAATAGAGCATCTTTGGGATGTGGTGGAACGGGAGATTCACATCATTATTGTGCAGCTGACAAATCTGCAGCAACTGCATGATGCTATCATGTCAATATGGAGCAAAATCTCCGAGGAATATTTCCAGTACCTTGTTGAATCTATACCACAAAGGATTAAGGCAGGTTTGAAGGCAAAAGTGGGTCCAAATTGATACAAGTTTGGTGTACCTAACAAAGTGGCCAATAACTATGTGCTAAATTGAATTTGTCTGATCATATTTACAATCAAAGCTTCTATTGATATAATATTTCATCCTGTTTTATGTTGTCATTAACATATAAAACTGTGTATGAGTTACTAGAAGCAGGGGAAAAAAGTTTTCCCATTACAGTGAATTAAATGGTGCCAACTGATGATAAATAGTAAACAACACAAATTGTACCCGTTCCCAACATGGAAAACCACCAACAACCAAGAATGCATGATTATGTGCTGTCAAAGCTTTGCCAGCAAAAAATGTCATTATATTTAAGTATTGTCATTATATAAGTCAATGACCAAAAATGTAATTATATAAGTTAACGGGCAAAAACAGCCACCAACATAACGAAAGTTGAGTCCCTTTAAACAATATCCATGAGTTAAACGCAGGAGTGTCCAAACCCGCTTCTGGAGGGCCGGTGTCCTGCATATTTTAGTTCCAACCCCTATTAAACATACATGAAGAAGCTAATCAAGCCCTTTTTTATACTAGAAACTTCCAGGGAGGCATGTTGAAGGAAGTTTGAGCTAAACTATGCAGGACACCAGCCCTCCAAGACACAGTTTGGACATCCCTGGGTTAAAGAAACTGAACACAATGAGGATAGAAACTCCACTGCCCACTAGTGTTTCAGAAGTGTTACTGCAGATCAACAATGCAGAACCATAAATGCTCACAGCGGCGTCTGTATACGTGCATTGAATGCGCCTCTGGGTACGACAATCACTCGCTGTAGAAGTATAAATCGGGTTTAATTTGTCTGTGATCCTCAGCTGAAGGACTCTTTGTTGTATTCAAAGGCTGTGTGTGAGTGTGGGTTTGAATTACACAGAGTGTGTAACGCTTTGGAGATGCCTTTGGGTCCACAGCAGAAAACTCCCACTCTTTTACTGCAGAACACACACACACACACACACACACACAATATCAGATTACTTCATTCACAAAAACCACATACCTTCAGCCAATAGCAGAGGTGTTCATACTCACAGCTGATTGGCTCTGCCTATTTCCTGGAAAAGGAGCTTCCAGTTTGGTCGACCAATCCGAAGCCTGGAACTCAGGAAACGGTAACGTTCCTCACCAATGCTCTTATAGAAAAACACACAACAAATAAGCTTTGTATTTTCAAACTTCCACACTAGTGATGTACAATGTTTATTTTGTCTAAAATACTATGGTAATTGGCATTATATCAACTCACTTTCCAAATACAATCCCGATTAATGTGGATATATATTTTTAATACTGAATAATGAATCACAATTAATTTCATCCAAAATAAAAGTTAGATTTGACAATTTAAGTGTGTGTACTGTTTACATGTATATATAAATACACACACGCATGCATACGTTGAAGAAAATGTTTATTTATATTTAGATATAAAATATATGTGTAAATGATACAAATTATTTATAAATGTAAATATCTGTGGTTTTGTATGGTTTGGTTTCTATGCATGCATCACATATATACACACAGACATGTATATATACACACACACGCATACATACATAAATGATATGTAATACACAAGGGTGAAGAGGCTGTATGAGTGCTGTTATTGTGCTGTTGTGTGTGAATACACACACACACACATATATATATATATACACACACACACACACACACACACACACACACACACACATATATATATATATATATATATATATATATATATATATATATATATATAT